AAGTATTATAATTGGGACGGTATTATTGTAAATGGCGGCCACTACTTAGAACATGCTGCGCGTAGCAATACTGTCCAGCAGAAGTAACGCAGCAATTGCAACTGCTACATGAAGCCGCTACGTAGCGCTAACTTCGGCTAAACACACCCATCTTTTCAGCTAAACGCGCAGTCTATATATTGGCTGCTTTCCTTTTAAGCCCCTTGCACAATGGAAGGAATAGCGATAGCGATAGAAATAACACAGTTTTTAACACAGAATTCCAACTCGTCGGAAATTTTGTCGCTATTGCTTATTCCGATTTTCTGATCTGCATTGATACATGTGTAGTTTTGTATGTTAGATTCCGCTGTTCTTACCTTTATTTTTAAATATAAACTCTTTAAAACTTTTGTTATTTCTATCGCTATCGCTATTCCGTCCATTGTGCAAGAGACTTTAGGAGACGCAGTCGACACAAGTCGACACAAAAGTCATTCTGTATTTGTTCGGTATTCAGTGAGAAACAAAGACAGAATGACTCTTGTGTCGACTTGTGTCGACTGTGTCTCCTAAAAGGAAAGCAGCCATTATACGTCTTATGCATATACTGGCTGCGCTCGTTTTTTACTGGCAGTACTAAAAATCTACAGATTCATATCACTATAAATTTTTCAGTACTACCAACAATAACAGAACAGAGTCATTATGACATATATATAATAAATGGTAACGGCGGGAAGCGCGCCGGGCTGTCTTATGCGCGTGAAACAGCCCGATACATGCTTATTCGCGGATCTTTGTTAATTAAGATCTCAGTAACTATTGCGAATCTCGAAACTAGTATACGATTTTTTGACTCAGTTTTACCCCTTCTACAAGAGATGTTACACTAATTCTGAGACACCCTGCATATAACGTGATGGTAATTTCGCGCCGGCAACACCTTCCCCAAGTAGCATGAAAACGTTCAGCGAATGTTAATTTTGTGTTAGACATGTTTTATGTTAGACCCCGAACACTGATCTAACATGTTGAACTAATATAAGTTTGAAATGTTCGTACCTAAACGAGGAGAACGTTACGATTTGCGACTTTTCTTGGATCCTACATGTTAGTCTGAGAACATTCGGAGGACGTTTAGAAATTTTTTAAAACTTTATACAAATTTAAGATTTACCCAAGTAGCATAAAAACGTTCTCGTAATTGGGTAACATTTGGCGAATATTCTCAGAACGTTTTATTGAAACGTTCCCGTAATATTCGGCGAACGTTAATTAATTAAATGTAACATAAAATATATTTGACACAAATATAACATTGTTTGAGACAAAAACTTTTGCGCTGTAAAAATGTATTTTAAATTTTAATAATAATAAATAATTAATAATAATAAGAAAAATATTTTTATCCACTGTTGCAAGGGTACATTACACTGCAATATATTATTGCAATATATATTATTTAATTAATATAATAATTTAAAGAAATAATAAATAAAATGTGTATAGGATAGCTTGAGAATAAGTATATAAAAATAATCACATTTTAGTAAGGAATAAGTGGTCTCGCGGACTGAGTGCAGGGGCTGTGAATGCGGTAGGTCTCGAGTTCTCAAATCCTGCCATCTTCTTAAGATTTTTTTCAGATCCAGTTTCTTTCAATAGAGTTTTATTGGTTGATTGGCGAGCTGAATCTCGGGCCTTCAAAGATTAATTCAGTTGAAATCTTGAAGCTGTGTAAAAACGCAAGCCGCGAAAAATTTTTTTGTTCTCTCTGTGTAACGTTCGCCGAATGTTACGGGAACGTTTCAGTAAAACGTTCTGAGAATGTTTGCTGAATGTTAGGAGAATGTTAGTCCTGAGCGAACTTCTAACATAACAAAAACGGTTTTTACTGTTACTATTCTAACATTCGCCGAACATTCTGAGAACGTTTTTATGCTACTTGGGTCTGTTCATTGAAAAAAAGCGCATTCCCCAATAGGCAAATTGTGCAAATGTTGCACAGAAATGACGTCATGAATGACGACGATTTTGCAATGATTGCACTAAGATAATTCGCCGTAACGCACCAATTTTGTTGAAATAAAATTTTGTAAATACTATTTGTCAAAAATTACAAAAATATCGTTCTGCATATCCATAAGTACATATATAAATTACGTTGATTTCTTCATATGCAATTATATTTCTCTCTACATCTTTTAAACATTACATAACTAAAATATTTCCTCAATTATTGGACAATTTCTTTTTGAAACCAATTTTGCAAATATACTGCAAAGATGATTCGCCATATTGTTATTCTTTTGCCGAAATAGTATTTGGAAAGTAATTTTGCAAACAACTACAAATATTTTATAAAAGATCAATGTTTTTACATCTATTTCCTAAAATATATCTGTATAATTGCAAATTACGATTTTAGTGCAAGATTTCGTCACATAATTTAGTAAACGTTTTCCTATCAAAAGACAGCGTCGCCTGTGTACGTAGTTGGGAACACACCAAAAAAAGCGAAAAAAACAACAATGTTTACTGGCCGCGCTAGTCTCGCGCATTCCGTGCCGCTATAGATATCCGCTTAATGAGACGCCGACCTTAAGTTCAAATCGAGAACAAATTGGAAAAGAACTCTACTGTGCATAAAACAATAAAAAAACGAGTGAAATGGGAATACTGTTGCGCGTAGGATTGGCGAGATACTCGCTGGCAGCCAATGTGGCTGTAGAGTGGAAGAACTTTCTAGTACTGTCTTTTCAATGAGAGAAAGGTCCACGGCCTGCGCATAGGGGTGGAATAATGAAAAGAATGGAGAGAGCGTTGCGTGCTACGCAACGAAATATGTCGACGATAATTGCACTCAAACAATTCCTTTTTTTGTACCTGTTGGGCTCGAACGTCCGCCCATACATCATTCTGCTAATTACAGAATAATAACGGGCACTGATACCTGCACGAAAAGTACAGCGCTAAGAAGTAAGGGGCTTTCTCCGCGTCCAGTCGGAGAAGCGATGCGCAGAACAGGCGAATTTGCGTCAGTCGCGGACCTTTCTCTCATTGAAAAGACAGTAGAAGAGATGCGCGAAACGGATGAATTTTTGTCCATCCGGTTTCTAACTTCGACTTAAGCCGTCAGTGGTCTAGCTTCCACCGAAGCATTAATTCACACCTAATGCGACGTAGAATCAAATTTAAGTCAAAGGAAACCTGTCAAATTGCGCTGATTTCGCTTCCGCTTTGATCTATAAGTACTCTACTTCCAATGGAAACGGAACACTAAATTTAATCCGTACCAGAGTGAAACCGAATTGAGGGTTTCGGTGGAAACTAGACCAGTGATGCAAAATCGAACCGGAGAGCAACAAGAGTCTCGAGGTGGGGATACGTACACAAGCGGGAATGCGTGTCCTCACTACTTCGATTCTCTCGATTGTCTCCTTCCTCTCCGCCTCGATCTTGCATCACTGAATTTTAAACCCAGTACCAAAACGCAAGGTGCGATGAACCTATATCGTAATCATATCGCACAGTATCAGTTTGCAAGACTGTAGTACTGATCTAATCGGAGTTGAGTGCTCGTTATAAACACAAATACACGGTGACAAGAGCATAGTTGTGTGCAATCGCGATTGCAATTAAATAATAAATAAAAAAATGTCATTCACGACAAATCTAGGATATTGTCCGCAAAAAGAGTTGCGTTACACTAAACTATTACCCTTCAAAGATCAAGTAGAAAAAGAATCGTTAGTATGGCTTGTCAAGATCAAGGAGAATCTAGGACGCGCTGTTATGCTTCGGGAGATTCAACCAGCATGTGTATTTTGGACAAGACAATTATATATGTGAGAGAACGTCTTGCTTTTAAAAGCCAATCTTTTATAATTTACTAAACCTAAAGACATATTCATATGTGAATTATTTTTATTTTTTTAATATGTTGTGTTAGCACCTTTGTTAATATTCAAAAGGTGCGGTCAAAGTCTCACTGCAAATACTTCAAAGCATCATTCTATCTTTACTCTATATTTAACAAAAAATAATGATAAAACGATGATTCGAAACATTTGCAGTGAGACTTTTACCGTACCCAAAGTATTTTTACTATCTGTAGTCTAGCAAAAAATGTAAGATACGAATTTTTTCAAATTAACCATTTCTGAAAAAATTGTTTGTTAAATATATATTTATAAAAGAATAATATACAGATGCAATAACATAATATACAAAACACGAACAAAAATCTAGGAATAAAAATAACAGTAAACTTAAATTTAGAAATGTATTTATATTGTCAGAAAAATATAACGGACTTTCTTACGTTTGATATGTGGTTTGAACTTGTTGCTATACTGATTTGTTTATTCTTGTAATATTTGTGTGTGTTATGTTTCAATTGTCTCTAAAGACCTTGTATCATGACTGCCAATACTAAGCATCTATACTTCATGTCACATTTGCTATAGAATATCAGTATTATACAAGGTCAATATCAGATATAATATAAACATAACAACACACAAAAACATCCCATACGATTTATTGTAGCACCTAAATTCAAGCACGTAATGATATGATCCACATGCTGAAGTATCGGTTAAATAGGTGATACAATGCATAAATTACAGGGTGTGTTTTTGGTCTCGAATGTGTTACGAAAATTATATTCTACATTTTTTATATTTTTAAGGAATAATCCCTTTGTGCTTAGTGATACAGTATAATTTGAATTATTTTATATAGTGGTAACTAACCTTAAATTGTTTTCCAGGTATATAGAAGTGTATGGATTAAAGTTTAGTAAAGAAGATCATATAATATTTGCGAAGTTAATGTATGAAATTATTACTATACCAAAAGTGAATCTAAGTGTTATGTTAAAGTGCACTAAGGTGCTTAAAGCCTTACTAAAGTAAGAAATAAAAGTTAACTATTATTGTCAATTTAAACAATTTTAAATGTGTGTGTGCGTGTGTGCGCGCGCGCACTTGAAACAATCTGAAATTATTCTGTGCATAATGACATTTCTAATTTGTTGTTGTGTAACATCATTAGAAAAATTATTTCGTGAGAAAATGAGATCAGTTTGAAAAGAATAGCTATGTAGTTTTAGTGCTGCAGTTCAATTGTTTATGGAATGTGTTTGATATGAATTGTTTATATAGTTTACTTTTTTTCAGGAAAGAAGAATTAATTAGTCCCGATGAGTTAGAAATTCCATGGAGACCTTTATATAAACTGTTATGTAAATTTAAAAAACTGTATTTATATAATCTAAACATACATAAGTTCTTAGATGACATACGTTACATAGTAACTTACTTTTCAGTAAGAGTTTTATATACATATATACACATATACATATGTATAAAATTTTTTCAAAATCATAAAGCATTATTTTTTTCAAATTTGACATATATCTACTTCACATTGTTTATAATAGCTGACCGCCACACAAGAAATATTAGATGAATTAAGACCAACATTTTGTCCGTTTAATGCGGCAATGAGGAACAGTATTTATGTTTTATCCATTTTGTTACCAACCAAATTACGTCCTCAGCATCATTCTCTTGGATATGTTTTATGGTTTGATGAACTTATGAACATGTGGAAAGTATTCCATAATTCGCGAAGCTGGGACATCAGTATACTGTACTTAATGGGACGATTAGCACGTGACAATATCGGTTATATTGATTGGAATCCGCACTTACCTGTGATGTTTTCTAGATTTATACGATATTTAAATCTACCTGTAATGTATAAAAATGTCTCAGATTATAGAATATCTACATTTCGTATACCGCCGATATGTTCGTGGATAGTAGGAGTTTTGGTAAAAATTATGCGATTACTGTGGACAAAGAAATTAAGTTTATTCATTCTAATATATACATCTTACAGGGAAATGGCTCAGACGCGCAGAAGTATTTAAATACATTCTTGAAAACTATAGAAACCTATATTTATCCAGCAAATTATGGGCGTTGGACAAAAAAATTAACTAAATTTCTTTCCATACTTACAGATGAGTTTCTCATACGTTTACGCAAGTATGTGAATATGTTAAGCGTCAAACTATTCGCGATTCGTGACCCGTGTTTCTGACAAAACCCAAATCATGACAAATTCATTTATTTCCATCGCGTTCTTCTATGCAAACATCTGTGCTTATACACGTCTGCTTACGTCGTTTAAACATGTCGCGAATACATACTTAATCATGTATATTGTTGAATGTTATCGTAACATTTATGAATCACAAATGACAAATTTTGAATGGACAACTACAAATCGCGAAAAGTTTACACTGACAAATAACAAATTTCTATGAATTGCAAAATACAAATCGCTCATATTTTGACGCTAATTTTATAAATGTGTGCTTTTCACTTATCACATTCCTCTCTAATTTATTACGTTAAAAATCAATACACAGCATAAAAGATATTGAATACATGAACTGATTAAGTCTCACTTCTGTTTATATAATTTCAGAGAAAGATATAATAAACCTACATGGGAAACTTCAATTCCAAACACTTCCAAGTTAACTGATGATGATATCGATGCTTTTGTTAAGAGTGTATTGCCGTTGGCTATGGTAGTTATGTATCACGAGGAAACATTTACCACTGAATATACTGCTTTGCAAAATCTAGCTGTGATAAGACCGAATTTAGTAATACCGGATGTGCTAGAAGAAACATATTTCACATTTAATTCTTTGATCGAACCACATAAACTTATAACTTTGATCAAGTGCATGACATTTCTAGCTCAACAAATGGTGCAAGGTTCTAGATATATGAATGGAGGTATAAAACCTGTTACAGCTTTTTTCTCATTTGTAAATTTCACACAAACAAATTCATTGAGATATTTCATAAATTAAAAAAACCTCTAAAAACAAGAAAGAAAGAAAATATGTACAAAGTGTTATAAAATGTAAATTTATTATTCTATTTTTTAGTATATTATTTTTATTTGTTCTTAGCAAAGAATGACACTACAGAATAATTTAATTTCGAAAAAAACATACAAGATAATATGCGCACGCGCGCGGGCGTGTGTAATTCTCTAAACAAAAAGAAAAATACAAACAAGTTTGAACACTTTCTCACATTATATAATTTTATTTTCGTGCACATTTTATAGATCACGCCTTTCCAGAAGGACCAACACACGTAATACCTCTGCTATTTCTGTCATTACCCGGAATCGATGCAAATGACTTAAAAAAGTGTTATGTTACTTTAACGTTTATAGGTGTATATTGTGAGCTTATTTCTCTTGTGGATTGCTCACAATGTACCACCGACAATACAATCGAGGAAACAGTATGCAAAGACACATCGCGTTTCGAGGACTTTGTACTGCAATTTTTAGACAAAGTGTTTGAACTAATAGGAAACCTTTCGTTCGAGAACGATAGCAAGGATGGGAAGACAGATGAGTTTCATTCGTCTTTCCGATTGGTAGTGACACATACATGCGAAATTGTGCTGTCAAACTCTAGCAAAACGATTTTTGATAGTGCTTTAAATAAATTGCGCACATTCATGACGGAACGAATCTCTGAAACCAAAATCACAGGCGAATTAGCACAATATATGTTGAGAGGATTTGCTAAGTGTAACGGACGGGAAACATTACGGGTACTTTTCCCTACGCTTGCGCAAACAATTTTATCATTGGTCAACGAAATAGAAGATGTTTCGAAGGAATATATTGTAGATCAACGTCTTCTGTATACTATGCTTATATTAACCGCAGTTGTCGACACGACGGGCGATAATTTGTTACCNTACATGGATACTTTGTATAAGATTTTCGATCGCATCCTAATTTTGAGACCGAGATATGAAAATATAACAGCGTGTACATTGTTAAAAGAGATTCTCACACATTTATCAACTATCACTATGTATCCTGAAAAAGTAATTCATGAAGATCCCAATTATTTTCATGTTAGAGACTGGGGTAAAGGTGTGGATGTTGATAACTTCGATCCAAAGTGGTATATTCCTGGTGCAGAAGAACTCGCTGCTGTAAAACAAATATTTTTAAGATATTTAATAGTTCACACTGACAAACTTAAGAAGTACTGCAAAGATCCTAGTACATTAACTTCGTAAGTTTACCAAGAGCTTTTTATTCTTTTAACCGCTATATATTGTTTTATTGAAATAACTAGTGTAGTCGAACTACCCTGATAGCCAAGCATGTTTTGCAAAATCATGTAACTTACTGCTGAGCTGAAGTTTTCAACTAGTTGCTGTGTATTTGCTGAATACATGATGCATAGTCATACGTAATCGACAACACGAAGGCAAATTTGAGACATTTTGTGTCAGCAGATTCAGAGCAAACGAAGAGCAACTATTGCTCATTATGTTGTCAACAAAATGACTTTTATTCATAGAAAACTCTTTGCTTTGTCATTCGTTTTCGGCAACATAAGATCAAACATGACGATAACAAAACAAGACACCAATGGTTGTACTTCTGTTGTATGGTTGGTAAAAACTGTTGACATATATTTATTCTATCTTGTAGTCCATTAAATGTTGAAAACGAATGACCATCTTTTAGAATAAGTAGACAAAAATAATTGTATTTTAGTAAGAAACAAGTGGTCTCGCGGACTGAGTGCAGGGATTGCAAATATGAAGGTCTCCAGTTCAAATCCCACTCATCACCTTAGGATTTTTTCCGTNTCTGGTACCTTTCATCGAGTTAATGAGTTGATCGACGTACTAAATCAGATTTCCAAAGATTAATTTAAGTGAAATCTCGAATTAATTAACTCTCCTTTCACAAAGCGATGTGTCAGTGAATATATATTTGTCCGTTTTTGACGATATTATATTTTTACTGAAATTTATGACACGTGTTGTTGGCACCTTGTTGTCATGTTGCTCTTTATGTTAGTGATAAACCGTTGACGGCAAATACACAGCAAGTTGTCGGCAATACATGTTGAATACGTGTCATGTCAAACTAAAGACAAATGCCTGACTCACCTTGTTCTAAATTTGCTGAAAACACAAGCGTTTTGTTTTCGGCAACATGACAGCAAAAATACAGACAGGTGGCTATCAGGGTAGTTGTGTTACTGTTTTATTTTTATGGATCATACATGATGTGATGATACTTTTATGTATTTAAATAATTGCAGGGAGGAGCTGTGTATTAGCCTACATATTATAGGATGTATTCTTTCCGGAGCCGTAGCTGTTTTACCAGTATGGTCAGAAACCCCGCTTGTAATAATCGAGTCGTCCGTAGAGTGTAATATATCTGTACCACGTCATTTTGATAAGACAGAATTTGTTACAATGCCTGATGGGAGCAACGTTAGGCAATATCTTGCTAGAATTATGAGCCAAGTACAACGGACAATGCTCGATAATAGAGAAGACGATACAAAAAGTTTCTGGGCTTTATGTCATGTATGTACATAATAAACTTTATGCGCGTAAAGAATAATCCATGAACAGTTATACGTGTATTGTTCTGTTTAAACTTTAGATATGGGAAACTCTGTTTTTTGGAAATGTGGACTATGGAAAAAATGTGAAAAGCAACCTTTCAACTGTATCTCACACCAAGAAGATGTTTGAAAATAAATTAGAAGGAAACAAAAATCGCATACTTAGATTATTACGCAATCGCTGTATAGTGCAACTACATATTCGAGAACTGATGCGTATCAGAAACTCAAGCATATTAACAGAAACTCACAAACAAATAATGATGGAGGTATTTACATTGGCTATAAGCAAATACACGCAAATTCGTCGACTAGGTTACTTTTTTTTCCGTGATGCTTTCACATTTTTCTCGTATTCCCTTAAACATTTTGCTCCTCATATGTGTGATATTTTGACGAAAGATGTCGAAAACTATGAAAATGCGTATAAAGTAAGTAATGATTATGTGATATACATATATACACGCACACATATATTTGTACCCAGCAAACAATTTGGTTGCGAGATGTCGCAGTTTTGTCGCCAACCGCCGGCGAAATTAGTAGACCAAATCCATATCCATGTGTGTCCTCATTAGGATATGGTTTGGCGACCATATCTGTCAAACATGTGAGATGTCAAAATGAGACCAAAATCATAACAAGTCTGCCACTAGCAAAGCAAAGCCAAAGCGACGCACCAAATCCAGAACAGATTTGGTGATCGTTTGTTGGCGCCAAAATCGCGTCAAATACACATCATATCTGTTACTAAAACTGTCAACAAAACAGTAGCAAATACAGACTAAATCTGCCGTTAGAAGCGCCGACAGATTGTTACCAAACGCAGATCAGATCTGTCCCCTAGAATTCAAGTAGAATTACTAGAAAAAAAAAAAAAAGAAAATCAGTGGTATATCGCCTTATCGGAAGAAAATTAATTTGAGATTTCACTCGAATTAATTTCTAGAAGCCTGATTCAGCTCGTTGATCAACCACTGAACTCCATTGAAAGAGACCGAATCTGAAAAATCCTAAATGTGATAGCGGGATTTGTGAACTCGAGACCTTCATATTCGCAGCCCCTGCATTCAGTTCGCGAGACCACTTGTGTTCCTTACTAACATATAATTATTTTTATCTATTTATTCTCAAGCTATCCTACATTTCATTTATTATTTATTTCAATTATTATTTTACTAAAACTGTTGCAATGAAATGTATCTGCAACAATAAATAAAAATACTTTTCTTATTATTCTTAAATATAATTTAAAGTACATTTTTACAACGCGAACAAATGTTTTGTTAATATGCTGATACTTGAATAAACAAAGTGTTTTTTAATGGATTTTTGGTCACTGAAAATGAATCCGGCGGCGAAATCGACCTAACACGTCAAATTTCTGAGAAAATTAAAGATAAATGTATAACATACTGTCTAGTAGCGTGAGAAAGAGCATATCAGTGTATCTCATTCACACTAGTGGACATTGTGTTACACAGTGTCGACCGTACGTAGCTGGAAAGCACCTATTGTTTCATATTACTCAACAAAGAATAATACATTAAATTTATGATTGCTTTATTGCCGAATTGCGTATAAACAGAAGTATTAAAATCTTACAGTTGAACTTTACCGGTTCCAGCATAAGTTAACAGTTATTGCCCGCATAAACAAAGTCTAACTGTAAAAGACTGTTCAATGTTTGTTAACAATCTGTTATCAACACAGACGACAGATATGATCGCAAATAATCGCCATTTTGTTGTCTAGATGTCAAACAGATAGTCGAGTAGTCTTGCGTGCAAACAGTCCGCACATATGCACGAACAGATCTGCTTGGCGTTTGGTGGCAATCTGTTGTCAATGCGTTCAACAAATCGACCCGACTGCGGTCAACGTTTTGTCATAAACAGATGCTAATACGGTTTTGCGGACTGTTTGGTCACAGTATTGCTAAAGCAGATCTGCTTGCTATCGACCATCTATTTGTTATCAATTTCACTAACATAAATGGAATCATTTTGGCCGCAATAGTCTCATGTATGTGCCAACAAAGTTATTGCGTTTTTTGTCTCTATGTGCTAACAGTTTTGGCAGCACCAAAGCATGTTTCCGTACTGTAGCGTTTCTGCACACAGTTTCTGTTGCCAAGGTCTGAGCAGGCAGAGATTGCTTGCTGGGTATATATTTAAGTGCTGTTTTAAGAATGATTATCTGTTGAAAAATCTCCTAATATAACTTTTTGACTTACAAACCAACAGGGCGTTTTACATATTTTGCTTCAAATTATGTATTCCGATCGTGTAAAAGAAGACTGGAATGTATTAAAGATATTGTTGCCAGCCNTTGTACTTTCCAAACCATCTGAAAAAGAATCTCTTATTCAGTTAAGGGAGAATCTTACACACTACATGAGTTGTAACTTTGGTACGTGCACGATCGAATTAAAAGTACCCGATAGATGCCTGACTGTTGCGCGTACTTTATGGAAACACAATCCACATCCACTGTTGCCACAGCCCGATGAAAATATGATACAGAATGGTGTGCAAAACTTGAAAAAATTCAACGAATCTAACTTAGCAGCGTATAATAGTCTGCGTGACGAACTGTTACGTTGTATATCGGAGAAACGTTTACACTGGCGGCATAGATTAATGGCAATAAGTTTTTTATATAATATTCGTCATCCAGATCAAAAGTATCCCGTGCAAGCAGCACGTTACTTCTTGCAAGCTCTCATACACGATTCCGTACAGGAAAGACAGATTGCTACGAAAATAGTGGCATGTATGTTGAACCAACAACAGCGAAAACGTACCCGAAAGGTATGTACCCTAATAGGCACATTTGTGAAAATATTGCACAAGTATGACATCATGAGTGACACCGATTTCTTGCATTTCTTCATACGCAATCATATTTCTACATATTTTAAACATCACATAGCTGATTTTCTTTTCTCAATTATTTGACAATTTCTTTGTGAAAGTAATTTTGCAAATATACTGCTAAGATGATTCGCCATATCGTTATTCTTTTGCCGAAATAGTATTTGGAAAGTAATTTTGCTACCAATTACAAATATTTCAGAAAAGATCAATGTTTTTACATCTATTTCTTAAATTATGTCTTTATAATTACAAATTACAATTTTAGTGCAAGATATTGTCACATAAGTTCGTACATGGTTTCCTATCAGGGTAATTTTTAATGTATAGATTTTGTGTAGCAAATACTCTTAGATTGTACATGTAAGCATTCTTATATTTTAATTAAGGTGAAAGTTAAGTTACACTGTCTATCTAAGAAGAATACCTTAAGCAAACAACAACAATCACAACCTGTCACGTGTGGGATAAGACCTGATAATATGTGGCTGCAGTACAATTATAAAACTCGCCCGCTCACCGCTGAACAGTGGGATGTGCCTAGATACGTCCATGAAGAATACACCGGTTATTATGTTTGGCCAAAAGTTTTGAAGGTAGACGCTCCTTCGTCTAAGCAGCCTTGTCTTGACGCGGCAACGCGCGAGCTGACAGATTGCGAAAAAGAAGTTCATCTTTTCTTCGATAATCCGAAGAACGTCGAAAAACTTATAAATTACTTCAGTAAAGACGACGTAGTCAAATTCGACTTGTATAGATATTTGCTGTTCAAATACTTGTTTTGCAATCATGGGATCGTCCATTTGAAGCATTTTCTACAGCATTTGGAGCGATTAGTAAAAGATTGCCACGAGAGTAGTCAACGATGTGCCGCAGAAATCATAGCCGGACTCATCAGAGGTGCTAAACATTGGCCATTTCAGATGACATGTGATATGTGGCAGGCGATGTTGCCCATCATTAGAACTGTAATATCGAATGCGACAATGGATACTACTATGAACTGGAAAAAGTGCTTCTCAGAGTCACAGAAAGACATAGATCCGAATAGGTCTCACTGGTTGTTGGAATGTCTTATGGAGGAATCGTCTTTGGAAGAAACTTCGTTCACACAAACCACACGATTGGACATACTACAAAGTGTCCTCAAACAAGCTACATGGCGAAAAACAGAACTGCTGGGTCGTTTGGTAACGCGTTTAGAAAATCAAATGGTAACCAATCTCATGCGAAGTGTTCGCAACACTTTCGGATCGATGCTAGTTACTATATTCACGGCCGATCTTAAAATTTCACGCAACTCATTTGATTCCATAACTCCGCGAATACAAACTTTAATAAACAAGATCTTGCCGCATTTAAACCAACTCATAAAGAATGATGATGCAAATAAATCTGAGAATCCGGAAAAAACAAAAGATATACATGACAACACAGCTACTCTTACACTTGATGAATTGAACCACATATCTCTACAAGACGAAATACTTACAAGAATCTTAAAAATTGTATGCACGTGGATTGAGTGTACTTTCTTTCACACAATGTTTTGTGCACTGCCAGAATTTTATCAGCTATTCCCACTTATATGTGAAGTAGGAACTTCGAAAAATGATGAAGAGCTCTATGATTTGTGTTTAAACGCTCTAGGACCTCTCGCACAAGCACTCGTACTACCCGAAGATATGTCAACTATATTGACAACAGTGAAAACAACATCCGAACATTTATCATGGTCTGTTAGACTTGACTGTTTAAAGTATCTTCAAGTACTGGTCTTTCACAATATGAGCATAATTCTTAGTGATAACACATGGATCGATTGCGTAACAACTATTGTACTGCGCCTATTAGAGGATGATCGTCTTGAAGTCAGAGAGCAGGCTAGTGAAGTACTCAGTGGTCTGATACACTGCACATGTATCACGGACTATGAGAAATTACTGGCAAGTTTTATCAAAATGTGTTTTCTAATCTTTTTCTCATATACTATGTGATTTATTTTTATTGTGTGTGTAAGTATGCAAATTTCTATAATGATTATTAATATTTACATATTGCTGTGTTTTTGTAGGAGGAATTTAAAAGAAAAACGAAGACGCAATTGTACGACAAGAAGAAACCTTGTGAAGATGTTTCGGGAATTGCTACAAGTGCGATACGTTTACGTCATGGTGGTGTGCTTGGATTGTGCGCTTTTATTACTGCTCATCCCTATGATGTACCTAAATATGTGCCCTCAATTGTCGAACATCTTAATTGCCATATGAACGATCCACAACCTATACCGGTATTTGGTTTCTTTGATTTATACATTATACAAAATAATTCAGATCTATGTATTTAATCCAGACAAATGCTATTAAAATGATGTGTGAAAAAATAATAGACATACACACTTGGTTAGTTAGAAACATTTAATTATATTATAGACGACAATAAGAAAAACTTTGGAGGATTTTAAACGAACACATTTCGAGAACTCGACTGGAATGAAGCATTATTCACAACATTTTACGGATGACCAATGGGACATTTTGCAGAATATAACAATATCACTGTCGTATTACGCTTGATTGATAAAGTGACAGTACAATGCAATCAGCATAGAGATATAGGAACTATGAACAGTAGTAGGCGGTATTCACGTGCTTAGTTTTTCACGTCCTTATGCAAACTTAGCGATTAAGTGTACACTGACTTAGAGAACCAATTCTCATTTTGCACACGTCAACAAACATAACATGCAACAAACCAAAAATCACCTGACTCATGATACTGGTTTTAGGTTATTTAGAATGCTTTTATTTCTTATATTGCAAAATAACTATGCGGTTCAATTAGTTGTTTGGATAAGAAAAAATATAAATAGAGAAAAAATATCAGAAGTACACATACGAAAAAAATATAAATATAAATAAAAAAAAATATAATTAGAGAAAGAACATCAGTAGTACATATTAGATTCTAAAAAGATTAACGATCGAATATATTATTCGTATTTTTCTAAATTATTTTACTACTGACTTTTGTTACTGGTTTTGTACACAGAAGTATATGATGATTTACAACTACCTGCCTAATATATATATATATTCAGCATAGATTTCTTGAGACTTTCTTAAAAGACAAAATTATAATATAAAACTCTGGCGAAGTATACTATAATAATCTTTAAAATACAAACAATTAAACACTGCCACTCGTACTGTTCTACAATAGTGCTCCGATATAACATTCTAGTTCTTTAATAGAGCGTAGTTAAGTATATATTACAACATACTTGTTTATTGCATATATGAATCATGTATACCTTTAAGAAATAATATTATATTTATTATAATATATTGTATATATAAGTATATTGTATATATATTCATTGGATTTTATATAAGATATATATATATATATATATATATATATATATATATACCCTTACGAAAAAGAATTACTGGCAGTAATATATTGCGGCAGTGGTACGAAAAAATTACTGGCATTCTGTGTAATTGCCAGTAATATTTTCAGTGATTTCTGTAATATCTAATACTATTCTTATGTCATTGTCAGTAATATTTATATTACTGACTTTATTTATATGTAATCGGCAGTAGTTCTTTTTCGTAAGAGTATATATATGTAATATATACATACATACATATATATATACGAGTTATATATATATATAAATTATATGTAATTAACTTTGTACATGGACACATGTGTCACAGTATACACAAAATCATTTCAACAGTACTTACAATTATTACAGTCTTGCTGTTTTTTTTTGTGTCAGATCTTTTCACCAGAAAAAGGATCTACCTTGAAAATATTGAATGGCAGATAGTTGGCATGGAGAACCGTATTAATATATATATATATATGTATTTTATAGTTATATAATACAAATTAATAATTGTACATACAAAATTGTACATAATCTACACTACACTATACATCACTGTTTTTCCATTTTTTAGAATTTTTTGGAAAGTGTGTAGCTTATCTGTCAATATTGTGTTCGTTGGACTTCTACTGTCTAGTATCTCTATGCTAATGTAATAGATAATTAAAACACTACTTTTAATAAAATGTATTTCTGTAACAAATGTAGTACGTTGATGTAATATAATCCGATCAAGTGACATTTGTGTGAATTGCCATTAAGTTTAATATATTATAAGAAATTATATGACATATATATGTTGATAGGACGGAATTAAGTCAAACAACACTTTTGTCTCTTACAAGGAGAGACTACGACATTGTACCAATCGATTTGGAAGAAATTTATAGGATCGATAGATGCCTATGTGGAGTATTGCAGGGTAAAGTAATGAGACGCACTACTCAAGCAGTTGTGAGAAAATCAAATTTGAAAAATTCGAGTTACTTTACCACGATATTGAATAGATTCTTTGACCAGAGATCGGTTAGCGTAGCGGTAGCGTACTAGGTTAGTAGTGTCGACGCTGCTGGTTCGAATCTCGATATAATTTTTTTTCAAAAGTTTACAGTATAATATAACTGGAAGTAATACGATTTTTATTTATTTATTGCATGTTAGAAAAATGCACTGTTTTGCATAAAAAATTAGTAATGTAAAAACTTCGGTAAACCTAGATTATTACTAATTACTAATTGTGGTTTTACAAAGCGGATACTTAATTGTACGCAACATGTAAAAATATACGCAACATGTTTTAATTGTTGGAACTAAATGGGACAATACATAATGCAGGATGATATTTGTTATAAAAACAAACGAAACAATAATTTTCACGACAGTGTGCATATCGTATAAACGCTGCATTTTTACATTCACATGGCTTTTTTAAAATATCTATAGAAAATCATACTTCGGTGACATTCATAAATGTCCGCTCCGAGTTTTCGAAATATGTTACATTATGCATGATTTGCTTTCAAATTAACAAACGAGAGAGAGATACTTATTTTTGCGTTTATTTTGTTTGTATCTTCTAGTCGGAGATATCGACTATTAAAATTTCGGTAAGAGAACTTCACGTGTGTACGAAACGTTACATTCGTCGTTGGGCCGAAATATGTGCATTTTCATATGCCTGCTAACAGATGGCACGTACGGACGCTTTAAAAAAAGAAAAAGATAAACAGGAAATGTGAGTTACAAAGAAAAATAGAGAATCAAGAGGCAAGGTAGTAGTTCGCGGTATTCGCACCGGCAACTGATATAATTTTTTTTATAAGTTATTCTAAAACTTAACACGACAAATAACTACAAATTATATACTTTAAAAAAGTATCTGTGGTTTTTCCCTTTTTTTTAATATCTCCTTGAGCCGTTATTTGAATTTTAATTATATATTTTATTATTAAGTTTATATAAAAGCTTACTGATAAAACCTTACTTCAGAAAACAGATAAACCAATGGTTTTCGCACTGGCAACACTTCCGATATCATATTTTTTAATTAACTATTTTGAAACTTGGCACGAAGTAACTACAAACTATATATATTTTAATATAGTTGAATAACGGCTGTTCGAAACGAATGATAGAGTGTTCGGCAATACACTTACTATGTTGTTATTAGTTTTGTTAAAACGTTTCGATTTGTAATTCAAGTCCTCTTCAATTGTATACTAAGGTAATGAATAAAATAAAATTACTTAAGTCTCTCTCTTACAATATACAAAGCGTCCCTGAATTGGCGTAACATTTCTTGTAGAGAGGTAGAAAAAATAAAACTGAGTCGAAACGTCCTATACTATTTTGTGAAATATGCAATAGGTAATGAGATCTTAAGTAACAAAGATCTGCGAATAAGCTTGCATCGGGATGTCTCACGCGAGTAAGATAGCCCGACGCGCTTCGCGCGCTCACGATGTTAGCAATGTATAGGAGAAGCTAATATAACAGGATATACTATTACATATACATAATAAATAGTAACCGCGAGAAGCGCACCGGGTTGTCTTATGCGTGTGAAACAGCCCGATGCATACTTATTCGCGAATCTTTGTTACTTAAGATTTCGGTACCTATTGCAGATCTCGCAAAATACTATAAGACTTTTCGACTTAGTTTTCCTCCTTCTACCTGTCTACAAAAAATGTTACATTAATTTTGGAACACCTTGTATATAATGTGATGGTGGTTTTGCGCCAACAACAACTCTGTTCATTGAAAAAGAGCACGTTGGAGCGAGTAGTATTGTCTTTTCAATGAGAGAAAGGTCCGCGAACCAACGCAAATTCGTTTATTCTGCGCATCGCTTCTCCGACGGGACCATATATGTAATACTTCTATATCGCTAGTACGGTGCCGACCTGAAGCCCAAATGTTACGGTGCAGACAATATAATGGCTTCTCTCTCGCGCAAGGTGCTTTGTGCGCCTGCGGTGAACAATCAAACACGCTTAAAAATTTTTCTTTCTCGCGTTCTTTCTTTGCGTTCCCTCACTGTCCAACACTCTCCCCATTCTGCCCACTATTCCCCTATGCGCAGACCGCGGACCTTTCTCTCATTAAAAAGACAATAGAAGCATCAATTAAAGAACTTAAACCTCTGAAGTTTAAACAAAGAGAATATAATAAAGTCATAAAAGCCGCATTTGCAGCATGTTATACCGAAAAATGTTTTTAAATATGCATACATAAATATATATATATATATATATATGTGTCCACATGTTAATTTACACATGAAATTTTGAATTTAAATTTTTTATTCTAAAAATCATCAAGGATGGGCTATGCTTGCATCTCACGTATACCCCGTATACTCACCCGAAATAAATTTTAAAATATTGCAAAAAAAATATGTTGTAATAAAAGTGTTCTGTGAGCACACACACACACATATATATATATATACAGGGTGTCCCAGAATTGGTTTAACATCTCTCGTAGGCAGGTAGAAGAAATAAAACTGAGGTAAAAAGTCCTATACCATTTTGCTAGATTCGCAATAGTTACTGAGATTTTAATTAACAAAGATCCGCAAATAAGCATGCATCGGGCTGTCTTACGCGCGTAAGACTGCCCGCCGCGCTTCGCGCGCTAACGGTGTTACCCATAGCGACATATGGGAGGAGCTAATATAACAGNATATACTATAACATATACATATTAAAATGTAATTGTGTGAAGCGCGCCGGGCTGTCCTACGCGCGTAAGACAGCCTGATGCACGCTTATTTGCGGATTTTTGTTACTTAAAATCTCGGTAACTATTGCGAATCTAGCAAAATGGTATAGAACTTTTCACCTCAGTTTTATTCCTTCTACCTGTGTATGAGAGATGTTAAACCAATTCTGGGACACCCTGTATATATGCATATTTAAAAGTGTTGTTCGGCATAACATCCTACAATATAGAAGCATGTTAGGACATGCGACGCGAACAAACCTACAGTTTCGCTCGTGTACGTAGCTAGAAACACCTCTAAAAAAGCGAAGACAAAAAACCAGAATGTTTATTGGTCGCGTTAGTTCCGCGCGTTCCGTGCTATAGCTATCTGGTTAATGGAACACCGCCCTTAAGTTCAAATGGAAAAGAAAATGGAAGAGAATTCTACTGCGCATAAGTGATAAGAAAGTACTAACGAGCAAAAAGGGGATAGTGTTGCGCGTAGGATTGGCGAAACACAACCAATGGCTGTAGAGTGAAAGGACTTTCTAGTAGGAGAGATGCGCGAAACGGATGAGTTTTTGTCCATCCGGTTTCTATCTTCGACTTGAATCGTCAGTGATGCAAGATCGAGCCGGAAAGCAACGAGAGCCTCGAGGTGGGGATACGTACACAAGCAGGAATGCGAGTCCTCACTACTTCGATTCTCTCGATTGTTTCCTTCCTCCTCGCTTCGATCTTGCATCACTGAATTTTAAACCCAGTACCAAAACGCAAGGTGCGATGAAGCTATATCTTAATCATATCGCACAGTATCAGTTTGCAAGACTGTAGGACTGATCTAATCGGAGTTGAGTGCTCGCTATAAACACAAATACACGGTGACAAGAGCATAGTTGTGTGCAATCGCGATTGCAATTAACTAATAAATACAAAAATGTCATTCACGACAAATCTAGGATATTATCCGCAAAAGGAGTTGCGTTACACTAAACTATTACCCTTCAAAGATCAATTAGAAAAAGAATCGTTAGAATGGCTTGTCAGGATCAAGGAGAATCTAGGACGTTCTGTTATGCTTCGGGAAATTGAACCAGCATGTGTATTTTGGACGAAACAATTATATATGTGAGAGAACGTCTTGCTTTTAAAAGCAAATCTTTTATAATTTACTAAACCTAAAGATATATTTATATGTGAATTATTTTATATGTTGTGTCAGCACCTTTGTTAATATTCAAAAGGTGCGGTCAAAGTCTCACTGCAAATGGTTCAAAGCATCATTCTATCTTTACTCTATATTTAACAAAAAATAATGATAAAACGATGATTCGAAACATTTGCAGTGAGACTTTTGCCGTACCCAAAGTATTTTTTACTATCTGCAGTCTAGCAAAAAATGTAAGATACGAATTTTTTCAAAGTAACTATTTCTGAGAAAATTGTTTGTTAATAATATATTTATAAAAGAATAATATACAGATCCAATAACATAATATACAAAACAAGAACAAAAATCTAGGAATAAAAATAACAGTAAACTTAAATTTAAAAATGTATTTATAGTGTCAGAAAAAAATATAACGGATTTTCTTAGTTTTGATATACCAATGAGATTTGGTTTGAAATTCTTGCTATACTGATTTGTTTATTCTTGTGATTTTTGTGTGTGTTATGTTTCCTTTGTCTCTAAAGACCTTGAATCAAGACTGCCAGTACTAAGCATCTATACTTCATGTCACATGTGCTATAGAATAGCAGTATTATTCAAGGTCAATATCAGGTATAATATAAACATAACAACACACAAAAACATCCCATACAATTTATTGTAGCAAATAAAGTCAAGCAAGTAATGATATGATCCACATGCTGAGGTATCGTTTAAAAAGGGTGATACAATGCATGACTTACAGGGTATGTTTTTGGTCTCGAATGTGTTACGAAAATTATATTCTACAGGTTTTATGTTTTTAAGGAATAATCCCTTTGTGCTTAGTGATACAGTATAATTTGAATTATTTTATATAGTGGTAACTAACCTTAAATTGTTTTCCAGGTATATAGAAGTGTATGGATTAATGTTTAGTAAAGAAGATCATATAATATTTGCGAAGTTAATGTATGAAATTATTACTATACCAAAAGTGAACGCAAGTGTTATGTTGAAGTGTACTAAGGTGCTTAAAGCCTTACTAAAGTAAGAAATAGAAGTTAAATATTATTGTCAATTTAAACACTTGTAAATGTGTGCGTGAGCGTGTGTGTGTGTGTGTGCGTGCGTGCGTGTGTGCGCGCGCGCACTTGAAACAATCTGAAATTATTCTGTGCATAGTGACATTTATAATTTCTTGTTGTATAACATCATTAGAAACCCTATTTCGTGAGAAAATGAGATCAGTTTGAAAAGAATAGCTATGTAGTTTTGGTGCTGCAGTTCAATTGTTTATGGAATGTGTTTGATATGAATTGTTTATATAGTTTACTTTTTTACAGGAAAGAAGAATTAATTAGTCCCGATGAGTTAGAAATTCCATGGAGACCTTTCTATAAACTGTTATGTAAATTTACAGATCCAGGAATGTATTATTATAATCTAAACTTACGTCAGTTCTTAGATGACATACGATACATAGTAACTTACTTTTCAGTAAGAGTTTTATATACATATATGTATATATATACATATATAAAATTTTTTCAAAATCAAAAAACATTATTTTTTCCAAATTTGACATATATCTACTTCACATTGGTTATAATAGCTGACCGCCACACAAGAAATATTAGATGAATTAAGACCAACATTTTGTCCGTTTAATGCGGCAATGAGGAAGAGTATTTATGTTTTATCCATTTTGTTACCAACCAAATTACGTCCTCAGCATCATTCTGTTGGATATCTTTTATGGTTTGATGAACTTATGAATATGTGGAAAGTATTCCATAATTCGCCAAGCTGGGACATCAGTATACTGTACTTAATGGGACGATTAGCACGTGACAATATCGGTTATATTGATTGGAATCCGCACTTACCTGTGATGTTTTCTAGATTTATACGATATTTAAATCTACCTGTAATGTATAAAAATGTCTCAGACAATAGAAAATCTACCTTTCGTATAGCGCCGATAAGTTGGTGGATAGTAGGAGCCTTGGTAAAAATTATGCGATTACTGTGGACGAAGAAAGTAAGCTTATTCATTCTAATATATACATCTTACAGGGAAATGGTTCAGACGCGCAGAAGTATTTAAATAAATTCTTGAAAACTATAGAAACCTATATTTATCCAGCAAATTATAAGCGTTGGACAAAAAAATTAACTAAATTTCTTTCCATACTTACAGATGAGTTTCTCATACGTTTACGCAAGTATGTGACTATGTTAAGCGTCAAACTATTCGCGATTCGTGACCCGTGTTTCTGACATAACCCAAACCATGACAAATTCATTTATTTCGCGTTTTTTTATGCAAACATCTGTGCTTAGACACGTCTGCTTACGCCGTTTAAACATGTCGCGAATACATACTTAATCATGTATATAGTTGAATGTTATCGTAACACTTATGAATCACAAATGACAAATTTTGAATGGACAACTACAAATCGCGAAAGATTTACACTGACAAATAACACCTTTGTATGAATTGCAAACTACAAATCGCTCATACTTTGACGCTAATTTTATAAATGTGTGCTTTTCACTTATCACATTACTCTCTAATTTATTACGTTAAAAATCAATACACTACATAAATGATATTGAATAAATGAACTGATTAAGTCTCACTTCTGTTTATATAATTTCAGAGAAAGATATAATAACCCTACATGGGAAACTTCAATTCCAGACAATTACAAGTTAACTAATGATGATATCGATGCTTTTGTTAAGAGTGTATTGCCATTGGCTATGGTAGTTATGTATCACGAGCAAACATTTACCACTGAATATACTACTTTGCAAAATCTAGCTGTGATAAGACCGAATTTAGTGATACCGTATGTGCTAGAAGAAACATATTCCACATTTACTTCTTTGATCAAACCACATAAACTTATACCTTCGATAAAGTGCATGACATTTCTAGCTCAACAAATGGTGCAAGGTTCTAGATATATGAATGGAGGTATAAAACCTGTTACAACTTTTTTCTCATTTGTAAATTTCACCCAAACAAATATATATATTCAAATATTTCATAAATTAAAAAAAAATCTAACAATAAAAAAGAAAGAAAATACGTACAAAGTGTTATAAAATGTAAACTTATTATTTTATTTTTTAGTATATTATTTTTATTGTTTTTAACAAAGGATAACACTACACAATAACGTTATTTCGAAAAAAACATACAAGATAATATGCGCACGCGCGCGGGCGTGTGTAATTCTCTAAACGAAAAGAAAAATACAAACAAGTTTGAACACTTTCTCACATTATGTAATTTTATTTTTGTGCATATTTTATAGATCACGCCTTTCCAGAAGGACCAACACACGTAATACCTCTGCTATTTCAGTCATTACCCGGAATCGATGCAAATGACTTAAAAAAGTGTTATGTTACTTTAACGTTTATAGGTGTATATTGTGAGCTTATTTCTCTTGTGGATTGCTCACAATGTACCACCGACAATACAATCGAGGAAACAGTATGCAAAGACACATCGCGTTTCGAGGACTTTGTACTGCA